GGAAACCTTTCATTGACACCTGCTCAAAGACATGTCGTTGGTTTTTATAGAATTTTTTTAAAAGCTATAGTTTTGTGAAAACCATGAGTATCATTTTGTAAAGCTTATTTGAGTACCTTCCCAATCTGGATAGTAAACACATTTAACATGGATGCAGACTTATATAAATATAATCTAAAATATAGATTAGATAATGGCATACAAAATAAACTGTATCTTAGTAAAAGGAAAGTATTAGGTAGATAACAGAACTCCATCTATTTGCCAGAATTTATTCTAGGATATTTCATATACTTTATCTTATTTACTCTGTGTGACAAATTTATCATATTGGAGCCATTATCCCTATCTTAAATATGAGAAAACTAAAGCACAGAGAGGTTAAGTAACATGCCTCAAATTCTAGTCAATAAAAGAGAATTCCATGTTTGGAATTACAAAGGCTGTGCAGCTTATATACTTTCTCTTTGTTTGTAGTTCCAAATTTTACTTCATTCTATATTTAGGATATACTTAGATAAATCTAACTAAATGAAATATGCTATGATTATTGTTTAAATAATATAAATACTATAATAATTAATGGCATAGTATAGTGCATTGTTTTAAAAGATATTTATTATGAATAGGTAGGCATGGTGGCACACACCTGTAGTCTCAGCAATTTAGGAGGCTGAGTCAGGAGCATTGTAAGTTGGAGGCCAGCCTCAGTGATTTAGCAAGACCCTAAACAACTCAAAGAGACACTGTCTCAAAATAAAAAAAAAAATAAAATAAAATAAAAAGGGATAGAGATGCAGCACAGTGGTGGAGCACCCCTTGGTTCAATCCCCAGTACCAAAAGAGGGAAAAGAAAGAATGTATATAACAAATTTACCAAAACGTTACATACAAATTTGTGGCCAATACTATAAACTATTTCCATTGAACATATTTTATAACACACTTTTCCTGTATCTTCTACAATATAACTAGTATATATATATATATATATATATATATATATATATATATATATATATAATATATATAAAATACTTAATCATGCCACTTACTGGTAGAAATAGTCATGTAACTTAGTTCTTGCCAATGAGTGATACCTAAGTGTGATAATCTTACATTTTATTCTTCTGTTTCTTGCCTAGAACAGAGACATGAGGTGCAGTTGCAGTCATAATGAACAAAGATGGTAACCCTGAAAGTTAGAAGGAACAGAGATCTAGTTCCAGAATGCCATTGGTGAACCATTATACCAAGCCATAGATGGCTATCCCATACCTCCCAGATCCATGATATAAATAAATGACTCTATGGATATATACCACCAAGGTCTCATTTCAGTCAGATGCAACTGAATGAATCCTTAACCAATATAAGCTTATTTGGGGCCTGTAATAATTGTTATCAAAACTAAGCATAGGAACTTAGTGTCCTGACATAAAATTCAAATTTAATGAACACTCATTTTATTTTACTTGTATTAACTGATTCCAAATTCTTTTTCTTGAAATGGATCATGATATCCTCAATAATATAACCAAATGAGATTAACAGATTTATTTTCCATGCAGTCTCCTAAGATATCTATCTGGATGACCCTACTGAAATTGAGAAAAAAAAATGCTCTGACTCATAGTTCAGGTAGTATGTGGTTATGAAGCCTGGTTCTGCTGGGCATGCAGTGTTTAATTTCAGAATGGCTGTCTTAGAAACAGAGCCAAAAATCAGGGTGGAGATACACCAGAGAGCATCACCATCAAGCCTGAAAATAAGTATTGCTGCAATCTGACTGCCCCTGTTCTGGACTCTAAAATCGCCACAAGTATCTCTAGGAAGATTGTTCTTTGAAAATATGTTTTGGCAAAAATAGCCTGGAAAATAGATATTTCAGGTATTAATAGTCACTATGAACAGTCCAAGAGAAGCAAAATACTGAAAGATGCAGATCTTCTTTGATAAAATAATTATCTTTTAAATTTCCATCTAATTATAATTTTCTCTATGGTATTTATAGAAACAGCTGTACAGCTTAGAAAAGAAAGAGGTGATATCTATTTAGAATATAAGAGAGGCTCAGAATCAAAACTATCTCCAAACATAAGAAAATATCTCATTAAGACATCCCAATTCTGCATGCAATTTACTATATCATTCTAGGATTATTAAAGGGGAAAATATTCCCTCTAATTTCGTGACAAAAACTTATTTCATCCCCCAGTTATTATTTAATAGTACAAACACTCATGTACTTCATTTTTATTCCCATTAATTTTAAATATTTTTGTTCCTGACTCATAAGAACCTCCTGTTAATTATGGTTCTAAGATTGTGTGGAGATGAGGGATGGAAGACAAGACAAAGAAAAGGGAAAATGGGAGAGGTGCCAACAAGATGACTGAAGACTGGGAGCTGGCTGGGTCTTTTAATGAAAGGATTTTTAAAAAATAATATTTCATGAAATTTTGGGTTACTGGTTAGATAGCAAATAAAGTGATCCTTTTCTACACTTGATCTTAGTCAAAAGGCCGAGAAGCGATAAAGTGATCCTTTTCTAACACCACTATATTTTCTAGTGTCTGTTGGAGCCCAAGGTGCTCTGGGTAAGACTCTTTCATAGAAGGAAAGGTAAGAGCTCAGTTTCATGGTTAGGTCAGTGTCATATCAGAGAGAGCCCCTCAGGAATTCAGAGATTTCACTGCACTAATGGATAAAACTTGCAGCAACCTCAACTAAGTAGTGATGCACCAGGCAAACCCTAGTGACCCTGGCAATACACATGTGGGATAAAAGCATAAGAAACTGTTTGTCTTGCTTTGTGGTTACAAAATATGCTTTAAAATGCACATGTATGTGTTTTTGAGGAAACAAAAACACAGACATAGCTGTTGCTGCACATTCTAGATTTGCAAAAACACATCAATTCACCCTGAAATAGTTTGAGTACAGTGCTTTATAATTTTTGAAATAAAAGTGTGTAAACTTAAATATTTCAAATATTTCAAATATTAAATATTTGAAACTCAGGACTAATGTGGAGGAAATAAATGATAAATTAAAACCTTCAAGTCTCTTATATGAACTAGTGGCTAAATGAGTCAGACATTTTTAAAGGAATCAGTTGAATTGATGAGGGAAGTGTCATCTTTTTTTATATATATTTCATATAAGTGTTTTAAGGGCAAGTGTTTAAAAAGACTTTTTTTCTTTAATTGATAGAGATATAAGAATTTCAAAAAAATACTGTAACTAAGTTTTTCAGTATTCACCAGAGTTCAAGTATCTGGACAGTCTAAAGTTTCCAAAGAATATTAAGTGGCTGGAAAGATGGCTAAAAGATCATATATTTTTCCCTAGGATTAGAAAAAAATAATATTTTTCTCTTTTTTTAAATAAATACCCCTCATAATAATAACATAGCTATATTAATGACAGATTGCCATTGATTAGTAATTATATTCAAAAAGAATATTAATGCTGGTTACTAAAAATATTAGAAGATAACACTGCTGTAACCACATTAATTAACATGTAGTTATTATTTAAAAATTAATCTATAACTTTAGAAACCCATATTTTATTCATTAAGAGAATTATTAGGTACGGTGCTATCTACTTCAAATACATATTTAAAAATTAATGTGATTTAAGAATATTCTTTATGCTTTTGATGGTTAATGAGAACCATATCACTGACCCTGACCTTATAACTCTATATTAAAAACAAAGAAATATAGTGAGGAAGGCAATTTTGAGGTATGAAAAAAAAAACCTTAAACATATTTTCTAAGTTAAGCAAAACATTTTAAATGGGAAAACTTTTAAAACAATAATTTAATCTAAGAATTATGCATAAACTTTCTTAGGCTTGAGACTACTTTTCTTTGCATAGAAGAAAGAAATATTGCAATATTTCTTTTGCTTTTTTCTTGATATGCTTTTTAAAACCACTAAAACTTGGGCTAAGGATATAACTCAGTGGTGAAGCATTTGCCTATCACAGGAAAAATCCTGATGCTTGATCCCTTCCATTACACACACACACACACACACACCAAAAAAATCCTACTAAAAATTGTATAATTCAATAATTAATATTTCTGAGATTAACCTATTCAGTATATTTTATTAACCTGATTTCACTGTCCCATTTCTAAGTCTGATCCATCACTGAAGCAAAACTCAGATTGAGTGGACTACATTATCATAAAATATTTTCCCTCAATATAAATATGCTATAGAACAATTAACCTAGGAGAAAATCCCTTCATTTATGAAAATGAATTTGCCTTCCTTTAGACAATTTTCTTACACACCAAACAAAATCTCAACTGAGTTTAAGGAGCTTATTTTCCCTTTCTGATGTATCAATACATGTTTTATTCCCCAAAGCAGGAGATACTTTTCTTTCCCTCTTCCAGTGTTTATCAAATGCTGTAGCCTCAGATGTCTTTAAACGACTTGAGTAAACATAAGCTTTGCCCTGTTCTATAAAACACAAATGTTCTCTCAGCACTACTTCTGTTTCCTATGAACAAGGCTTTCCTGTAAAAAGGAAAATTAAAAAAAAAAAAAAGATGGTCTAAACAAATACAGGACAGCAGTAAGGTTGAGCTCTTTTAATTGCACATACTCAGCTGCTACTCAAGAAATAAACAATAGAGAAATGAATGAAAATTAGGAAAATGATTCCACTCCTATGCTATGAATGGAGGTAAAATTGTTGGTAGAATCCAATCTCAGAACATATTTTATTACAGAAACTTTGTATTAGATTATGGCTAGGTACTATTCAGATTGAAGAACTTGTTAGTAAACTTTTATAGAATGCCCTCTGTTCTCATCCACTAAATGTATCCTCAATGCAACAAATGGAACTGAGTTTCAAATAATGAACAAACACAGTTTGTATACCAGTTGTTTTGGTCAGGTTTCCCCACAGAAACAAAACCAACAGGACTATATATATGTTGGAATACATGTGCATGTACAAAGAGACTTACCATAAAATAATCGCTTCACACAATTTTTGAAGGATGGCAATTCCAGATGCCACAGAGTCAATGTTCCAGTTCTAGTCTGGGCCTGGCAGACTGCTATGGAACCAGGAAGAGTTAACTCCACAGTTTGGTCTTTGCTCCATTTCAAAGGTCATTGGAAAAGAAAATTCTTACTACTGTTTGGATATGATTTCAGTTCAGTGTGGTAAAGATAAGGCGGCAGAACTTTTAAGAGATGAGGCCCAGGGCAAAGCTAATTAGGTCATGATGCTTCTTTCAGAAGGATTCATGTAGTTCTTACAGAACCCGGTTAGTTCTCTTGAGAGTGGATGATTATGAAGGGAGCAAGCCTGGATCCTGAATCTCTCTGGCTTCCTGGCTTTCTATGTGATCACTCTCATATACACTCTCACATGCCCTCATAGCACTGTGATGCCATCTGCTATGTCATGAGGCTCTTACCAGAGCCAAATGGATGCTGGTACCAGGCTCTCTAAAACTGTGAGCTAACCAAACTTCTTTTTTCTTATAAATTACCTCAGGTGCTTTATTAGGGCAATGGACAGTGGACTAATGACTTTCCTGAGAAGGTCAGCATTTTGTTCAATTCAGGCCTTCAACTGATTGTCCTTTAAAATTAAGCTATGTTTTCCTTTAGGATTCAAAGTTCCAAGAAATCCCATGTCCTTTAATTCCCATACTCAACATCTATCTTTTATACTAATTGATTTCATTGCCATGACTAAGAAAAAATTATTAGTGATAAAAACAGAACCAAATCCTGGTATATTGATCTCAAAATCACCAGCTATAACTAACCCAGAATACTGGGTACATCAGTAGAAAAATAATTCACTTAATAAATGAGGTCTGAGTGGAAGAGTGGAAATAGATGTGTCCTCTCTCTGAATACATGTTGGTTTTTTTCTGAACAATTCATACTTAACATATGAGTGAAGGAACAAGAAATTTATTCATTATATGGCAATGTTTCGGAGCAAAGTTCTCATTTTTCTCAACATGTCCTTTTAATCTACCTAAATATTAACTAAGTAAAAGTAGTTTTAGTCTGGTAAAATGGAGCCATTGCTCTTTGGATTCCTTGAACACAACATTGGGTATGCTACAATGCTAGCATCATCAAATCATGGGTGTAACCTCTGCTTAACCTCCAATTGTGACCTCATTTTTGGAAGAGTTCATTTGGCATATTAAAAGGCAAAGTAAGAACCAAAAACCCAAGTATTTAGGTCACTATTTCTATAGACTTGTTACCAAAGCTTAAATTCTCTCTTTCACCTCCGGTCATAATTGTAGCGCTCTTTTGAATTTGTCATCGATTTCCTGGTGAAAAATAGGGTTTTTTTAATTGGAAAAAAAATTATAAAAACTAAACTAAAATAACTATTTAAAAGACAAATGCTTACTATTTCTTTTGAAGCGATTATTCTATTATAAAAGAGTACTTGTGTATTTACTCTGAACCAGATACTGTTCAAGAAATGGGAACAAAATATCCTTCCCAGACTACCTGCTGAAACTAAAGGAATCTATAATTCTGGGACAAAGAAAAAGTCAAAATGCCATAGAATTCTGTAAACTAGATGACACAATTTGGAAAATCTCCCACAAGAAATAACATTGAAGTTATAGCTCAAATGATGGGGAAGAGTTTAGTTTGAGGATTGGGGAAGACATAACATGCATGACGCTTAACACGAATATGAAACAAAACTTGCTTTAAGAAGGAAATTAAGAAGATCACAGAGAGACATAAGACTTATGATTACTCACTAATTATCTAAATATACTACTGCATCTTGTGTTTTCACTAAAAGGATGCTAAAAGTAAAAAGAAAAAAAAATACAACACATGACTGATGGTTTCACAGGTCAACATAAGGCTCAAGATGGTACCAGGAAGGAATGGAGCAGACAGGGATGGTGCAGCACTCTATAAAGTGGCCTGAGAAAAGGTACAGACTCACTCAATGCAGGCCTCAGAACTTACTGACCTGCCACATGGTACTGGACATGTCTTAATATTTAGTTGTGACAGGATGATGCACTCTCATCAATGAAGAATAACAACTATAATAAAGTAAGAGAAACAGAAGGTGTCAGAACCTGAAGTGAAGGAACAAAGGGGATGGCTGATGCTGAGGCTGGACGTGTGCAAGACAGTAATGTCCCATGGTCCCAGGGGGATGGAGGCCCCAAAAGGGAGCTACAGCAATCCAAATCTTTTGATAGACTTTAGTCCCAGCAAGTAATCACTGAAAGAAAGGTATGTGAAGTACTTGGTTTGAAGTTTAATACAGAAAAGTTCAAGGTTAGACTTGGATTTTAGTCGATAATGCATTAAGGCGTACATAAAAATATCCCCTTTCCAACAGATGGCATTTTTTTAGGAAAAAGATCAGGAGGATGTTAAAAGCGGCTATTTCTCTTTTTTATGTAATATTTCTGATTTAGTGATACAAAATGAAATAAATCGCTACATTCTTAAATAAAGAAGAAAAGGTACAAATTATACAGCAGATCCAGAAAAATCATAAATGGAAAAGTAAGACAAATGACAAAGGTTTGGTAAAGTGCAGGGTTGGCCAAACCATCTTCCTCTAGTTGATTTACAGTCAGTAAAAGGATATCAGCAATTCTAAAACAGCAGACTTCTGTTTTCTAATCTGTATAAGAAGTCAAGTAAGTCATAGGTTTTGGAAGAAAATCACTGTTTTAGATTAAGTTTTAGATTAAGTTTTCCCATTTATATTCACAGAGCTACAGCAGTGAAAGCATACCAGCTAGAAGACTGCAATGGGAAGAATAAGAGTGATAGTTCATTAAGCAATTACTCTATGCCAAACCTTGTTATAAATCTTATAGGTTTTAGTTTATCCTTCAAAGAAGACTATGCATGAGGATTATTATTATCTCAAATTTACAGATGAGATGCACCAGGCTGGATGCCTCTTATCCACTGTCACACAGTTAGGGTAGAATGGCACAAAAAACAGGAAGCAAACTACACCTGTCCTCTTCCTGCCTGTTAGAGATTTTCCATGCTGTTTATTCTTCAATCTGCTTCATGTTGATATCACAGGAAAACTTAACAATGGTTTTAATTAAGGTTGGGGTATGTTAGTTGGGATATTTGTGTGGAATTAGGAGTTCAGAAATCTCTACTGTGACTTTGTTCTGACTTTTACATGCCATGCCATCTTTGACGATGTTCTTTACATCTGTCTTTCATTACTTTTCTTATCTGCACTAAAAAAATAATATGATATTCTTTAGAGTGCTAATGGTCTAAGATTTTAAAATTTCCACTAAACTACTCACAAGACTCAACTTTCAGAGATCAAAGTTGACTATAGGTCTATTTTTCATGTTTTTGCTGACATACCTCAGGTAATCACAGGGCAACATACCCTACTGGCACTGAATTGCAAGCACGTGTTCATCTTTCTACTCATTTACAACTGGATCTGGTTTGGCTCACTGTGATTACGTCTAATGTTATCATCTTTGTCAGTGTCCTCTGCAGTAAGATGTATCACTGACACCCTAGCCCTTCAATAAAACATGCTGAATTGGGCTAACTTTGGACAAGCTTAGAATAATCCTGAAATTAGAGAAAAATCACTAAACTAGGATTTCCTTTACAATTTTTAGAGTATTCCAGAGCTATATTTGCAGGGACAGGGGGTAGCTATAAATTCCATTCCAATGGGGAAATGTTGAAAAATGATAGATATTTCTTAAAGGAAACCTGAAGAACTCATGTACTGGATAAGAAAGAAAGAAAGAAAGAAAGAAAGAGAGAGAGAGAGAGAGAGAGAGAGAGAGAGAGAGAGAGAGAGAGAGAGAAAGGAAGGAAGGAAGGAAGGAAGGAAAGAAAGAAGGAAGGCAGGCAACCTCTGGAATTGGTTAATCCTAGCCCAGCAAATATATATGAGAAAATACCAATACCAACATATATGAGAAAAAGTATCAGTGCACATATTGCATATATAATATAAATTTTACATACACACACACTTAACAAATTCATGTAACTATTTATGGATTATTCCATTTAAAAATTTCTATCCAACCACCAGAGTGTATGTCCCTATTTTTTACACTGAGACAACTGTTTGTAAGATGTAGAATTTGGTTATGGAAGCTACAATTCTTATTCATGTGTGTTTTCTCTTGGGTTCAGGGCATCTGTCCTCTTTATGATACAGGATGTTCTTGTGCTGATTTATCTGATGCCTGAGGAGAGGGATGTCTTTATGCTTTTCTCTCTGGGCATTCATAACAAGTTTTCCCTGAGAGTTTTGACCATGTTGCTTTGAGCCTTCCTTCAGAACTAGTGACTCCTAGATATAATTTCCAAATTCTTGTTCCAAATATGCTGCTTGTATCAGTAGCTGCCCATGGTTACGTTTCTCTACACGTTGTTGTTTGTAGGCTTTTGTTGTTGTTGTTTGCTTTGGGGCATTCATCAGAACAGAAGTGTTACAGCTGCTCCTGAGATGCCACAGAAGCCATGGCTTGGGGCTAAATCGTGACAGATGTGTGTTGACTGCCTGTCACCTAAGCTCTCATTTATAGCTGATGGCAGACTTCAATGACTGACTTCCCTCCTAGATTCATAGGAATTAATGAAATGTCAGCTCCCCCCAAATGTAAATACTGAAGTTTTGAAACCCAGATTTTTACCAGAGAGACTACACTTTTATTATCCTCATAAAAATTCATTGGCAAATGACAGAATTCCTGTGGCAACAGAAGAAAAATTCTGTAAACCTGCAGTGCATCAGCCATACAAGCTCATTCACTCCCACCCTTGGACACATTTGACCTCTCATACATCTACCCTACACCCTGCTTACTTCTCATGATAATTACTAAAACCTCTGAACAAATTCAGCCACATGATCACTTTGCCTACTGTATTATGAAGGCACTCAATATTTAAGTCTTACAGATTTACCTTCACTTATAACATGTTATACCTACAATGTCTTGTACTTTCATATACTCAATGCTGAGTATATGAAATCTTTCCCTTCTAAGAACATGAATGTGAAACTAAAAACTATAATACTGAAGAGGGAGA